TCTAGAACTTTTCGATATCATTTCTAGAACAAAAATTCTTTTTAAGGGTTATCAAATGATTCAATGCATGCAAGATAAGAAATGCAAATGAAACATGCAAGATGAGACATTCATGATAATACATGCAGAATATGACATGTAGCATAAGATATGCAGGATAAGACATGCAAAATAAGACATTCAGGATAAGACATGCAAAATAAGACATGCTAGATATGACATACAATATAAGACATGCAAGCTAAACATACAAGACAAGACGTACAAGATAAGACCTACAAGATAAGACCTACAAGATAAGACCTACAAGATAAGAACTATACAAGATAAGACCTACAAGATAAGACCTACAAGATAAGACCTACAAGATAAGACCTACAAGATAAGACCTACAAGATAAGACCTACAAGATAAGACCTACAAGATAAGACCTACAAGATAAGACCTATACAAGAAAAGACGTACAAGATAAGACCTACAAGATAAGACCTACAAGATAAGACCTACAAGATAAGACCTACAAGATAAGACCTACAAGATAAGACCTACAAGATAAGACCTACAAGATAAGATGTACAAGATAAGACCTACAAGATAAGACCTACAAGTTAAGACCTACAAGTTAAGACCTATACAAGATAAGACCTACAAGATAAGACCTACAAGATAAGACCTACAAGATAAGACCTACAAGATAAGACCTACAGGATAAGACCTACAAGAGAAGACCTACAAGATAAGACCTACAAGATAAGACCTACAAGATAAGACCTACAAGATAAGACCTACAAGATAAGACCTACAAGATAAGACCTACAAGATTCATCATTTGACAGCTTGGATATGAAACCCTGAGGAAAAGTTCGCCGTGCTGAAGGTAGAGGACAGTGACGCACTTGTGACCATCATTGCCTTTTACACTCTATCCCATTGAAAACATTTAAGATAAAAGTCACTGAAAGGTTTGTGTTTGCTTGTTTGTTTGCTTGTTTGTTTGCTTGGTTGTTTTCTTGTTTGTTTGCTTGGTTGTTTGCTTGTTTGTTTGCTTGTTTGTTTGCTTGTTTGTTTGTTTGCCTGTTTGTTTGCTTGTTTGTCTCCTTCAAACGAATCGTGTCTGCAAAGCTCAGACATGTCCTCTCTCCAGCTCAGACATGTCCTCTCTCCAGCTCAGACATGTCCTCTCTCCAGCTCAGACATGTCCTCTCTCCAGCTCAGACATGTCCTCTCTCCAGCTCAGACATGTCCTCTCTCCATTCATTGCGTTGATTATAGTTACGCTCCGTGCAAGAGTTGCATACAGTACGTGAATCCATTGCATGTTGTTATGTCCAGGCGTAGCAACCAACTATAGCACACATTTGACTTTGTTAAAGCTTCGGATATCCGTTTCCTACATGACGTTGCAAATAAAATCTCAGTTTAATTGTCTTGGGGTGTTTCTTAAATCGTGCCTGATGCTTAGGAAAGAATTGTGTGAAGTGAAGCCTAACAAAATAGTACGATTCATCAATTTAATTGTGGCACATAATTAGTTACTAAAACCGAAGGAAGTTGATTTTTTTCATGAACCTTAACAAGTTGTGTACATAAGAGAAAGGAAGAAACACGAGAACATTATAGATATATACACAAAATTGTGGATACTTTATATAACATATTTATGATAAATGAATGGTGTGTATGCAAAGGGATCTTGTGAAGAGCGGAGTAAAATTTTATAACTTCAACCATATCTAAACAACTAGAAGTAAATGTGTTACGAAAATTATAATGTGATGATCGGAATCGGGGCCAAAATTTACAGTAGAATCAAATTTAAAACCCAAGGTACCGGTATCCAGAGAATATTTTGTATTTCTTTTTTTTTTGTTGGCCTCTGTTGTTAATAAAAATTTAATTAAAAGGCGCATGGGTCGCTTAGCATCAAAGATGTGAGTCACTTAACATCAAAGATGGTGCGTCTGTTAACATCAAAGATGGTGCGTCTATTAACATCAAAGATGTGCGTCTATTAACATCAAAGATGTGCGTCACTTAACATCAAAGATGTGCGTCACTTAACATCAAAGATGGTGCGTCTATTAACATCAAAGATGGTGCGTCTATTAACATCAAAGATGGTGCGTCTATTAACATCAAAGATGTGCGTCTATTAACATCAAAGATGTGCGTCACTTAACATCAAAGATGTGCGTCACTTAACATCAAAGATGTGCGTCTATTAACATCAAAGATGTGAGTCACTTAACATCAAAGATGGTGCGTCTATTAACATCAAAGATGGAGCGTCTATTAACATCAAAGATGGTGCGTCTATTAACATCAAAGATGTGCGTCACTTAACATCAAAGATGGTGCGTCTATTAACATCAAAGATGTGCGTCACTTAACATCAAAGATGGTGCGTCTATTAACATCAAAGATGGTGCGTCTATTAACATCAAAGATGGTGCGTCTATTAACATCAAAGATGGTGCGTCTATTAACATCAAAGATGTGTGTCTATTAACATCAAAGATGTGCGTCACTTAACATCAAAGATGGTGCGTCACTTAACATCAAAGATGGTGCGTCTATTAACATCAAAGATGTGCATCACTTAACATCAAAGATGGTGCGTCTATTAACATCAAAGATGGTGCGTCTATTAACATCAAAAATGTGCGTCACTTAACATCAAAGATGGTGCGTCTATTAACATCAAAGATGGTGCGTCTATTAACATCAAAGATGTGCGTCTATTAACATCAAAGATGTGCGTCACTTAACATCAAAGATGGTGCGTCACTTAACATCAAAGATGGTGCGTCTATTAACATCAAAGATGGTGCGTCTATTAACATCAAAGATGGTGCGTCTATTAACATCAAAGATGGTGCGTCTATTAACATTAAAGATGGTGCGTCTATTAACATCAAACATGGTGCGTCTATTAACATTAAAGATGGTGCGTCTATTAACATCAAACATGGTGCGTCACTTATCATCAAAGGTGTGCGTTACTTAACCTCACGTCACGTGGCAGTAGCTCAACGTCACGAGATGTCTTACTGCCTCCCAACCATCCTGTAAGATGCCTTGAGCCTTGCCTATGCTTCATTTAGTTGATGGACTGTAGTTGTAAATCACGTGATGTTTTATTGCCCCTAACCGTCATGTCACGCGCCTAGTCCATGCTTTATAGAAAGATGTCAGGGGCGGGTATGACTGTGAGACCCAGAGATCCACCCTCGTTATGTGTACTCCCCTGAAAGACAGAACGTGTTAAAAGTATAGCGTAACGCACAAGCACTCCCGAAAGGAGGGGGGTATGTGGGGGGGGGGAGGTGGGGCTGGTGGGATTCCCCTTGCTCTTGCGCCCTCGGCTACAGTGACGTTTGGCTACTATTTTTGGGTCAACTGCTCTGTGGGTCGGCTGGTCTGTGGGTCGGCTGGTCTGTGGGTCGGCTGGTCTGTGGGTCAGCTGGTCTGTGGGTTGGCTGGTCTGTGGGTCAGCTGGTCTGTGGGTCGGCTGGTCTGTGGGTCGGCTGGTCTGTGGGTCGGCTGGTCTGTGGGTCGGCTGGTCTGTGGGTCGGCTGGTCTGTGGGTCGGCTGGTCTGTGGGTCGGCTGGTCTGTGGGTCTGGTCTGTGGGTCAGCTGGTCTGTGGGTCAGCTGGTCTGTGGGTCAGCTGGTCTGTGGGTCGGCTGGTCTGTGGGTCGGCTGGTCTGTGGGTCAGCTGGTCTGTGGGTCAGCTGGTCTGTGGGTCAGCTGGTCTGTGGGTCGGCTGGTCTGTGGGTAAGCTGGTCTGTGGGTCGGCCGGTCTGTGGGTCGGCTGGTCTGTGGGTCAGCTGGTCTGTGGGTTGGCTGGTCTGTGGGTTGGCTGGTCTGTGGGTCAACTGTGAGTCGGCTGATCTGTAGGTCGGCTGATCTGTGGGTCGGCTGATCTGTGTGTCGGTTGATCTGTGGGTCGGCTGCTCCGTGTGTTGACTGCTGTATGGTTCGGCTACTGAGTGGGCTCACTGCTCTGTGGGTCGGTTACTATGTGGGTCGGCGTTGTCCCACCAATGATTTGATGAAATACTTTGTTATCTTCGCCTTTGTTCGTGGATGACTTGATGACGGGGAGGGGGGGACAGGCGAGATCTTTGGAGGGCTACTTGACCCACTGATGCCCCTAGCACATGAGTAACTGATGCCCCTAAACACTCTGATGCCCATAAACACTGGAGAAACTGATGCCCCTAAACACTGGAGTAACTGATACCCCTAAACACTGGAGTAGCTGATGCCCCTATACACATCTGATCCCCTAAACATTGGAGCAACTGATGCCCAAAAACAATGTAGTAACTGATGCCCCTAAACACTTCTGATGCCCTAAACACTGGAGCAAATGAGGCCCCTTAACACTGGAGTAACTGATGCCCCTAAACACTGGAGTAACTGATGCCCCTTAACACATTGATGTCCCTAAACACTTCTGGTGCCCATAAACACTGGGTAACTGACACCCCTAAACACTGGAATAACTGATGCCCCTAAACACATTGATGTCCCTAAACACTTCTGGTGCCCCTAAACACTGGAGTAACTGATGCCCCTAAACACTTCTGATGCCCCTAAACACTTCTGATGCCCCTAAACACTTCTGATGCCCCTAGACACTGGAACGACTGATGCCCCTAAACGCTGTTGTGACTGCTGCCTCTATGTATTTAGCCAGAATGTTATTTGTTCCAAATTACAGAGAAGACCAAAATCATTGTTTTTAATAAACTTAAAAGATGTACCCTACAAGTTGATCATTCATGATAATATCAATAGCTACGCAGTTCAATCGATGAGGAGCAGGGAGATGGGGTGCAATATGAATTGGTCATGCTGGCCGCGGGGTGACTTTAATAGTTATCTTTTTTTTTCGTTCAATCAAAGTAGACCGAGACAGGTGGGGAAAGGAAAGACAGGTGTGAAATAAATCGATAGTTTTTGATGGCCTGAGCTCATCTTTTTCCGCGTGGTTTCAATCAATACACGTTTTAAGTCAGTCGGACTTTTTGAAAACGCAACTGTGTATGTTGTCAAGTAGTTCTCGAAATATCTTTCCAGCAGCTTGTAAATATACAACGCCGCATTAATGAGCGGATGTCACATGACTAGGGTATAGACCAACACAAGGGCACAGCCCGGCGAGTATCTACTTTCAAGTCAGAGCTAAGCCGTCATTTAAGGTGTTTTCATAAACTTCAAGTTAAGCAAACTTTTACAATGTTTTTTTTTCAAATGAGATTATTCCAATCATGTTTGAAAGTAATCGTACACCAGAATAATTGTTTTTAAGAGTTATTTCGTGTTCAGTGGGAGCATACAACTGTGGATGGTGCATGTCTTATTTTACACTGATTCCAAAAATTGACATTTCCGGTATCGCCTAGATCATTATTCTGGTGTTGTATCGAGGAATCCGTGACACATTCAGCCACATTCAGCCACATTGAGCTACTAGAACATCGTTTTCTTCTCTTTAAGTTCTGTTATATTATTTGAGTTTGTTGCTCCCTTGAGCTGAAGGTGTTGGAGATTGGTTGAGCTCAAGTTGTTGGAGATCAGGTGAGCTCAAGGTGTTGGAGATTGTCTGAGCTCAACTTGTTAGAGATTGGTTGAGCTCAAGTTGTTGGGGATCAGGTGAGCGAGCTCAAGTTGTTTGAGATCTGGTGCGCTCACGTTGCCTGGCGTCGGCAAATGACTGAAGTGAAAATGAAACGTGTCGGTCTGAGGCTGGTCGCCGGCGTCATTATTTCGTTGCTGGTCGTCGTCAGCATCCGCAGACAGTACAACGCCGCCAAGGAGCTGCAGCGCAGAAAGGCCTTGACCTTCGCACCGACCGAACAGCGCAAGTCAGAGCTCGTCGTCCCGGGCAGTGACCCGACTCACGACACGAAGGACCCGGATGACAGCTTGGACGATTTCATCGACGTCATGCCCGCCCACCTGAAGAATGACGAGGAGACAGAGGGAGAGGAGCGCGAGGATGACCTCACGCTGACGAGGCCTAGGTCAGGGGTGGTCAACACCGGGCTGCAACAGTCGGCTGAAACATCTCTTCGCGGTGAAAATAAAGCCGGCAACGTGGAGCCCGGTGGAGATGAGACGCGTCAAGTGCCGGCATTCGAAGTAGACGAGACGGAAGAAAGTATCGATGACGTTGACAGTGTTGTTTACGAAACTGTTGACGAGACCCCTCAGCAAGAGTCTCTGCTCTCTTCATTTTTCGGTTTAAAAAAATTCTTGCCGTTCGGCGGAAACAGTGAAAACAAGGACGTTAATGGAACGTCGAACGCTGGAGACGAGGACCGCCATGACAGCCGTGTGGGCGGTAAGGATGATATCAGTGCTAGTCACGATGGTGGACGAGATCTGCCCTTGGCTTACGACACTTTGAATGAGAGAGTAGAGCAAGGCGCGGAAGTGGAACAGCGACAGGTTAACCAAGATGGGGAACAGCGACAGGTTAACCAAGATGGGGAACAGCGACAGGTTAACCAAGATGGGGTGCCTCTGGTGAAAGCCGCATTCGGTGCCGACTATGGGTCAGAAAGAGTAGCTACTGTCAACAACGACGCTGCTGAAAGTGACGCCACTGACGCTCACAGAGATCATGACAGTGACGCCACTGACGCTCATAGAGGTCACGATAGTGACACCATCGAGGATATGAATGGAGGTCCAGCGAAAGCAAATAGATCGATTCTGGCACAAAAGGGTGAAGAACCGATACTGTCAGAAACACGAGTAGCATCTGACGGTGGTAACATAGCGGGATATCCAGCAAGTAATCAACTGGTAGGACAAAACAACAATGATCTCCTGGGAAAACAGGACAGCAACAGTCTTGGAGGTCAAAATAGCAATGATATTGTAGGACAAAACAGCAATGGTATTGTAGGACAAAATAGTAATGATGTTGTAGGACAAAATAACAATGTTATTGTAGGACAATATGGCAATCATATTGTGGGTCAACAAGACCTCCATATTCCAATCGGGCAGCTGGATAGACCTGTTTCCTTGCAACATGACGTGACGAATGACACTTCTCAATTTGACAGTTCAAATTTGATACAGAAGCAGAAGAATACCGATAATGTGGGACCAGACAATTCAGATGTTGCTGGACAACCAGAACTTTCCAATGTAGAAAAACCGGGCTTCACAGACCAGCTTCAAGCAGCCAACTCCCTTGCCACCAACGAACCCCAAAACGCTCAAAATCAACTCAAGCTCAAACAAGAAAAATTGCCGAGACAAGCAGAAACCAGAGATCAACTCCTGCGGGAAAAATTGTCTCCAGAAATTCTCAGGATTCTCTTAGACAATAATCTCGGACCGAATTTTCTTAAATCATTTCCTTTAGTCTGGCGATATCTGGCCATGGAGAGGTCGGCCACGAGAAATCATCTTGTGGACATGAAACATGAACCTAATGGGATCATGCCATTATCCGAGAACCCTAATAAAATAAGATCTGATCCCAAGGAGTCCACAATAGGGACAGCTCTGGAAGTAGTCCCCGAACAAAAGGGAATTAACTCACAAAGCCTTCCACTAGTTCCCTCCCTCCCACCGTTAACGGCCATAGATGTACTTTTCAACGATAATGAAGTCGAACCAAAAGTGGCGGGACATCCTATCGTGGATGACAACAATGGCATGGGCACTTCTACAGCGACACCCGATGGAGGTTCCTTGTACGACAACCCAAGACCTCTGTCAGACAACGAGTTTGCTTTGCTGAGGACACATCCATCGCTTGCGAACAACGCACAAGCCACGGTGTTTCCTGTCAGGCAGCCACTGTCGTCTGAACAGCTAGACAACAACCCACAACAACAGCAACACGTCCTGACGCCTCAATTATCGGATGGGACGTCGTTTTTGGAGCAACAGCAGGAACCAGAACACCAGGAACATCAACAACAACGACAACGATTACCCGAACAGCAAGAAACCCAAGAACAATACCAGCAGCAATTACCAGAAGAGCAACAACATTATCAGCAGCAGTCACAAGAACAGCAACAGCAAAACCAGCAGCAATTACAAGAACAGCAACAGCAATACCAGCAGCAGTTACCAGAACAACAACAGCCTCAACAACAACAAAATCAACAAGGATACCAAGAGCAAATACCTCTACATCAACAACAATACCTCGGGGAACTTACAGAACTGCAACAAAACCAACAACAACTATTGTTACAGCAACAACCTCAACAGCAATACCAACAGCAAGAACAATACGAACAGCAACAAACATATCAGCAGCAATTATCAGAACAGCAACAATACCAACAACGACTATTGCTACAGCAACAACCTCAACAGCAATATCAACAGCAAGAACAGTACGAGCAGCAACAACCATATCAACAGCCATTACCGGAACATCAGCAACAATATCAACAGCCATTACAGGAACAGCAGCAACAGTACCAAGAGCAATTACCAGAACAGCAACAAATAGCAGAATTAAATCAGACGTCTCTGTCAGACCATCAGACGATCCAGTGTCCACGTGACGTCAAGCTGGCTAAGACGTCACATCCTGTCACAGCGTTGGTGGCCTTTCCCGGGGCGGAAGCAGCCTGGGTGCGAGACATTCTGGAGCAACTGTTTGGTAGGTGTCATGTTTGCATGCAACTGTTTGGTAGGTGTCATGTTTGTATGCTACTGTTTGGTAGGTGTCATGTTTGTACAAGTAAATGTTTTTCAGGCAATTTATCAGGCTCTACAATAAATCAAACACATGTATAGCGCAGCTCGCTATAAGAAAGAGGAATCATGCACAACTATCCACTATAAGGTGCTTTCCACAACTGCTGAACTCAACATAGTCTAGTCATAATAACGAAAAAGATACGTCACCAACTTAAAGGGGGTAAAAGCGTTCATTAACTACTAGCTCCCAAATCGCACCGCGCACAATAGAACACAGTATTCGGTGCGCAACAATTACTTGTGAATTTCGTGCTCAGATATATTATTAATCCTATAACAATGTTCAAATCATTACTGAGAGATACTTTTATATTCAAATCTATGCCTACTGATACACCAATATTCAAATCTTACCTAATGATGTACCAATGTTCAAATCTATGCCCACTGACACATCAATATTAAAATCTATGCCTACTGATACACCAATATTCAAATCTATGCCTACTGATACAGCATTATTCAAATCTTACTTAATGATACACCAATATTCAAATCTTTGTTTACTGATACACCAATATTTAAATCTTTGCCTAATGATACACCAATATTCAAATCTATGTCTACTGATACACCAATATTCAAATCTTTGTCTACTGATACACCAATATTTAAATCTTTGTCTACAGATAAACCAATATTCAAATCTTTGTCTACTGATACACCAATATTTAAATCTATGTCTACTGATACACCAATATTTAAATCTTTGTCTACTGATACACCAATATTTAAATCTATGTCTACTGATACACCAATATTTAAATCTATGTCTACTGATACACCAATATTTAAATCTTTGCCTACTGATACACCAATATTTAAATCTTTGTCTACTGATACACCAATATTTAAATCTATGTCTACTGATACACCAATATTTAAATCTTTGTCTACTGATACACCAATATTTAAATCTATGTCTACTGATACACCAATATTTAAATCTATGTCTACTGATACACCAATATTTAAATCTTTGCCTACTGATACACCAATATTTAAATCTTTGCCTACTGATACACCAATATTTAAATCTTTGTCTACTGATACACCAATATTTAAATCTTTGTCTACTGATACACCAATATTTAAATCTATGTCTACTGATACACCAATATTTAAATCTTTGCCTACTGATACACCAATATTTAAATCTATGTCTACTGATACACCAATATTTAAATCTTTGTCTACTGATACACCAATATTTAAATCTTTGTCTACTGATACACCAATATTTAAATCTTTGTCTACTGATACACCAATATTTAAATCTATGTCTACTGATACACCAATATTTAAATCTTTGTCTACTGATACACCAATATTTAAATCTTTGTCTACTGATACACCAATATTTAAATCTATGCGTTTGATTCACAATGTTAAAATATTTGCCTACTGATGCACAAATATTCATATTTTATATGCTTATTGATAATTTCATGCGCAAATCTATGTCTTATAATACAACCAATGTTTAAATCTATGTCTTAATACGTCGACGTTCAAATCTATGCTTATTGATAATGTTATAATTTAGTAAATTCAAATAGATGCCTAGTGATACACCAATGTTCAGATCCATGTTTCTTATAACGTCCGCTCTAACAGGTGAGCCGACTGACTCCATCTACACCATCATGGCGGACCTCAAGTCAGGCAACGCCGCCTCTGTCTACCAGATGGGGAAGAAGGTTGCCGTGCAGACCCACTCGGCGTCCGACAAGAACTTCCAGAGGGCGCTGCTGCTCATCAGTAACCCATACGCCGTAGAAAAGCAACACCAACTGTTTCGTCCACCTTTTCAAGGTAAAAAAAAAAAATAATATGTGCTAGGTCATTTTTGAAGCGCACATACTCTATTCAAATAGGGGCACGTAACAGTTGTGTAGGTGAAAAGATTTCTAAGACAGGAGAACGTCATATGGCCTTACGTAATGTTACTATTATTAGACAATGTTTTCGTTAAACATAGCTTCTAACAATTTATTTCCGTATATATATATATATATATATATAAAGCAGTAACATTTTTTTTTATAAATCTTTAGTAAAATAAAGTTTCAAATTCGTTTTCGTCTAGGTTAAGACTAACTACACTGGCTGACCTTAACTTGAGCAGCGCTGTATTTCGTTCAAAGTGAGGGTCAGATGCTCAATTCGTCTGGTCTTGTCTATTTGTTCCATTGGCAAGACTTGGTCAAGACGAATGAAAATAGACCAGGATGCAGTAGATGACCAGCAGTGTGTCTTGTGTGTTTCACTGTGCTATTTATGCGTTCCACGTGGCAGGAGTTGTCGGAATTTTCATCTTGTCCACGTCATAGCGCCTACGGGACTCCATCTCCGGGTTTGATTTCAGAGTTTACCTTCTCTTAGATGAGCTACCATCCAGGTCAACGAGTCACATGCACCCGGCTTGCTGGAGATGTTGCTTTTGCAGAGGATTGAACTCCAGTGTACTAGCTAAGGATTTACTCATTTTAGAAAACTCGGCCGTAGCCTGACATAGACTGACATAGACTGACATAGTCTGACATAGACTGACATAGCCTGACATAGACTGACATAGCCTGACATAGACTGACATAGTCTGACATAGACTGACATAGACTGACATAGACTGACATAGCCTGACATAGACTGACATAGACTGACATAGCCTGACATAGACTGACAGAGACTGACAAAGACTGACATAGACTGACATAGACTGACATAGCCTGACATAGACTGACATAGACTGACATAGACTGACATAGACTGACATAGACTGACATAGCCTGACATAGACTGACATAGACTGACATAGACTGACATAGACTGACATAGACTGACATAGACCAGGAGCGTTAAACAAAAGGTAGAAAAGAAATGGAAAAAAAGGGAGGGCACTCTTCTCCTACAAAAGCAAAAAAGAAAATTAATCAAAGGAAGTAGGTGACACCATAGTGCATATTCAAACAGAAACGATAATGGAACAGTCGTCCCTGCACTGGAGCTCAGAAAAATTGTGGATTTTGCAGGTGCCTTACGGAGTCAAGGCACACATATTGTTAACCAATCAATTCTCCATATACATTATTACTGGAATGATCGATATCCCATTAATGTTACTATTGATGATATTTTTAGAAAAGGACGGAGACCTTTTTAAATTTAAAAAAAAAAAAATAGTTTTTACAGGTGCTCTCTGGACCTGCTACTAACGCCACGGCCTGTCTCCCCTATATAAGAGTTCGGTATTATTCGCTAAAGAGTATATAACTCGCGTTGCGATGTGCGCAAGCAACACCCTTGTTGATTTTAAAGAGAACCAGAGGTGGGCGGGGTGAGATTCCATTAAATCTGACCACATGTTACAACGGCTACGGGTTGAAGTTTTGGTGACAATGTCTGTTGTTTTATAGCAGAAACTTTGAAGTGGGAATGACCAGCAGTGCTCAAACTTCAGAAGGTCAGGCCACTGTTAACAACCCCGCGGATAAAGACGGGGCTGATGTTGTCTCCGATACGAAACTTTATTGCTTTTTAGAAAGTCCATAGTTATGCTTTGCTGTGTTATCGTCACTTTGTTTCCAGGGCCCGACACTCTCACAACTAAATTTTATTATTACTCTTGGACTTATCTTGTAGAATTATCTCTTAACTATTTTTTTTTACCAAGTGTGTGTTTAGGTGATGGTTTTATGTTTCAGACTGGCAGAAGAGATATCTGTGGGGCCAAACCTACTCGTCTTGGTTCAACAGTAGTCTGCCCTTGTTCGTCCTCGTCTATGAAGATTTGGTGGAGAACCCAATGGCGGAGTTGATCAAGGTAACGAAATGGTGGGAATGACGTGATCAATGTAACGAAATGGTGGAATGACGTGATCAAGGTAACGAAATGGAGGGAATGACGTGATCAAGGTAACGAAATGGTGTGCCTGTTCTGATCAAGGTAACTAAATGGTGTGAATGACGTGATCAAGGTATCGAAATGGTGTGAATGTTCTGATCAAGGTAACTAAATGGTGGGAATGACGTTATTAAGTTAACGGAACGGTGGGAATGATCTGAATTACTGGGTTTTATAAGCATGACCTGATAGAGCTGAGTTTGATTGGCATGACCAGCAGTACTGCGTCTGACTGGCATCATAAAGCGTGTGAACTTGCATCATGTGGGTCATCAACAATTTGTTGAATCATTTAATTGTTACACCTTGACGCGATGCTTCTAAAAAATGGCACACGCCCTGACAATAACGCCTTCTATCCCATTTCTTCCCTCCGTCCAGGTGACCGAGTTCCTTGGCACTGAGGACAGGCAAGTGAGCTACGAGTGTGCCATGGACGTGGCCAGGAGACCGCCCAGCAGGATCGGTGACGTCGCACAGATCACTGGACTGTACAACCCGGAGCGCAGGCGCATCAATGCGAACATCGACACCGTCATGACGGCGGCACAGGGCAAGCACCCGGGGCTCGTGGCGCGGCTGGACAGCTTCAAAGTCTTTTAGCGTCAAGGTCGTCTGAAGGTGTCACCGAAGGGAGGGACTCTCTTATTCTTAGTGACACATTTGCGTTATGGTGTGCATGGGTACACAAAGGAGATGAAAGATGGGGCCTTATTTTATTTGTTCTTGCACATTACTTGAGAGGAAACTGTATGACACATGCTTGATTTGATGCCATCTACTTTAAGCTGTGGTGAACCCATCATGATTTTATTTATGTGCATGACCGTATAGAATAGTCGATGTCTTACAGTTGCTCCACACGAGAATCTTCTATGCTCACCCGCCTCCCAGATACGCCTCTGATGGGGATTATGAAAACTTGACTACACATTTGAGGCTACATTTTGGTATCTCCATTGTAATTACTGTCTTGTCCCATTTAATTACTGTCTTGTCCCATTTAATTACTGTCTTGTCCCATTTAATTACTGTCTTGTCCCATTTAATTTCTGTCTTGTTACATTTACTTTTACCATTTAGTTTATATAAAAAATCTTTTTCAATGTATTTTTCTTTCCTCTTGTGTTGAGACTCATGTTAACATTTCCGGCTTTCCTAAATTGATTCACCAACTACCACCAACACCAACGGTACCACCAAGATTAACTACACCACCATCACCATCAACAACACCATCACCATCAATACCACCATCACCATCAACACCACCATCACCACCAACACCACCATCACAGTCAACACCACCATCACCATTAACACCACCATTACTATCAAGACTACCATCACCATCAACACCACCGGTACCACCATGATTACCAACACCACCATCACCATCAACACCACCATCACCATCAACACCACCATCACCATCAACACCACCATCACCATCAACACCACCAGGCTTTGAGGGTCCATGAACAAATTATGTAACACAAAAGTCACATGACATTATTTACCAACCCCTCTACCCTTATAAGGTATTTAACACTTCCATTGAAGGCCCCCCCTCTCTTAGTATTACATAACATTTCTAACACCATCCCCACCCTACCTTTCCTTCTTATTTTCCCGATAAAAAAATTGACACCAAATTTTTTGTTTGACCATTTAATGCACCAACCGTTGCCGTTAACCCCATGCTTGCTACCAACACACTACAAATTTGCGACTATTCGCACCCGGGTATCAGAAGGGAGAGGTTGAGATTAAATAAATATTTAAAATATTATTGTTGTGTTTGTAAGACAAAGTAAGGTGAAAGATGATTGAATGGACTATATGTCTGTAAACTTACATCTTCAGTTTAACTAAAATAAATTACCAAAAAATGACATCCGGGTCCTTATAGACTAAATCCCAATCGGATCATTGTTACCATCCATTTTAAACATCATAATGGTGTTGGTGGTATTGGTGTTTTGGTGCTAGTGGTGTTATACTGTGTTGTATGGGGGTGGTAGAGAGCAGTGTTTATAAATGATAAACCACCAACCTACCACCTTCGAGCCATTTCATAGCTGCACGGTCCCAAGGTTCTGTTATCAATAAGTTATGTGTCATCAAAGAAACTATTTTCTCTATCAATAAAGATTTGAATCGTTGATTCCACGCACACGGCATTTGATCTTTTATCTTTGAGTACATTTGATTGTCACGCCCTTTGGTGGAGCTACAGCTCTGTGAGTCAATGCAACCGAAAATGTTTGATAATTGATACATTCACGCACCTGGTTCAGAAAATATTTCATAATTGATAAATTTGCTCACCTGATTATAGTTTTGAGTGGAAGCCTCCAACTTTTAAGTTGCCCCCCTCCCCGCACCCCCTCCCAGATAATAAGATACCAGTGCGATCACTGTAAATTATATTTAAAACGAAAATCCATATAAGAAAATAATGATCATTTTACACTCCAAACCCTAACCATCAAATCTCTGAGACGCTCAAGCCGCGACCCTTGACATTTTGTCAGGCGACCCTCGAGAGGGTCTTGTCCATAGGTTAAGAACCGTTGCCTAACCCATATATATATACACACACAAACACACACAACATCAAACATGAAGGGGGAGCTTCGCTACACGCGTTATGGTTGCTGGTCGCTGGTTGGTAGCAGTTTCCATTGTTTAAAATACCAAAGTACGCATATTATTTTTTATAAATATTTATTTCATCATCATGGTGATACCATGCTAGCCTTGATACCATCCTAGTCTGCATTAAGTTGAGACAATAGCTTCAATTATCAAATAATTTTTTAATCACATTACTATTATTGAATTCTATGACAAAACTTAGAGATGATACTCTGTCTCTACAGACAGACAGACAGACAGACAGACACACATACACACACATTTTGTTCCACTCTTTATCATCTGACAGTCAGCTTGAGAGATAAAATATCAATTTTAAATTGAGAGTGCCACCGTCCTCGTGACCCAATACGTGCATCTTGCTAAGTCCAACTGCTACACCAATTCGCAGCAAGTACTTATTATATTCAGAACTTGACAGTTTCATTTAGCCCACATTTAGTTTGACACCAATCTCGAGTCAGTTTTCTAGGATTATTTATGTCATTTGAAAATGTTCAAACGATTATGTTTTTTTTGGTTTTTTTTAAAAGATGTACATGTTCTGTACATTCACTTTTTATCCCTACCAAGTAGATGGAAAAAAAAAATTATCAACATCTTGTCCCTTAGTCCTTGGACCGTTGGGGCGCCATAGATGACATGAAAACTGTCCTTCTCCATTCCTCTGAACTTCGCATAGCGTCGCCTAGGTTTTGTCTCTTCCACTCTTTGATGCTATCTTCCCATCTTTTTCTCTGTCTTCCTCTTCTTCTCCCTCCTCTCGTTGTGCCCTGCCTGATTTCTGTGGCGAGCCCTTGGTTTTCTAGTCACGTGGCCATACCATTCCAGTTTGCACCTTTTTTTTTTACAGTCACCAGGAGGTCTTCGTACTGTCCAATGGCTTGACGATTCCTCTCTTTCACTTGTTCATTGGGAATTATTGTCTCTAGAGCAGATGCCAAGAATGCGCCTGAAACATCTCATCTCCATCGCCTTTATTTTTTTCTGCTGTTCATGTCAAATTATAGAAAATTAGAATATAACTCTGTTTTTATCACACACGGAACAAGTTCAGCGTTCTTCCGGTCCGGGTATGCACCGGGTGTGCCAATACTCGGCATGTCCTGTTGTCTAAGTACTACGAAAAGACGCTTCTCCAGAGCTCCAGCTAGGAGCTCCGCTCAAATTTCCACCAATTTAATTATCAGCCATCTGTACAAAAATTTTTTTTTAAAGATATCAACCTGCTAGTTATCGCCATGCCGAGAGGCTCGTGATTTGGTTCAATTGGGTCATGTTTGGAAAAAGGGTGACAAAGCCGGAGTTACATTTCTTGACTCCCTAGTTACCGATTGGCGTCTTCAGCTACCTGAAATGTTTACGGTTAAAAGTGGAACGGTTATCTACCTCTGAGCCCGAGTGCTCTAACATAAGTTTGACAAACAGAGTCATTGTATCCCTCGTGTGTTTACGATTTAAGCGTTAATTGCCGACGAGATAAGACGCTTACACAGATGTTCAGACCCATCAAGTGGGTCTCTACCCCGCTCGCACCAGTAAGAAGATGTTTACACGCCGACCGATGGGATTTCGAGGGGCTCCACTGAGAACTGTAGAAATGAAATCAAAAAGGGATGAAGTTTCAGATAAATCTAATGTGTTCCAATTTCAAGCATCAAACTTCGATTTGTGGCCAGCCAAAGGAACTGAGGAAATGTAACGCGTCGCTAGGGCGTGACACAATTCAATCCAGCAATCTACAAGTTCAAGTGACGTGCCATAACTAAATGATTTAAAATCTGACATTGGGTGTTTTGTTGAGGGGAAGGGGTTCATAAGTGTTCATGTATAATGAGTGGTGAGTTGGGGGGAGGGGGGTGGGTATCAGAAGATGTGATATGTAAATCATTTATGACTGTACTGCCTGAAAGGCCCGTAACTCAAGAGGACCGAGGATTTTGTCCAATCAGTTTCAGCACTGTTTAAAAACAAAGATCACCAATTGTTTATATAAAACTTTGTTTATATCAACCGTTGTTTATATCAACCATTGTTATATCACCCATTGTACACATCACCCCTGTGTAGACGTTCATCCTAAATGTAGGGGTGTATATCCCCTTATGTAGACTCCCTATCCTAGATTTACCTATTTCAAAATATAATCTCTAGTGACATCATCGAATCGGGAGCGAAAACAAGATGGGGACATGTTAAATTCGTATGTCAACAGTGCAGTGTGCACAACCATTTTCGCATTTATATTTTATTTTTGTCTCATTTAAGTTTTTTTTTGGTTTAAAATGTTTGTATCTATTAAAGTTGAAAGAAAAGTAATGAAGATTTATCCAAAAAAAATCCTTAAAATTTTTCCGGGTCAATTCAGCTTGAAAAATTTAGGACTTAGAAGATAAAAAATAATGTGATATGTGGACATTTGTTTCTTTTCATTTTTGTAGTTGGTTTAGAGTGTTGTGATGTGGGGGGAGAGGGGGGAGTATTGTAAATTAAAAAATAATATTTTCGGGGTCAAATACAGAAATATAGACTATTGCATGGTTGGATTAATCTAGACGAGAAACTTTGTCCACATACACTTGATTATCCATATTCAAATATTGTAAGGGAGTGAACTCGAAATATCAACTCCTTTGGGGTCGAGGACCCCAATTCATGTTTCCTTATAAACTCTTTATAAATGCGGACACGTTTAGACAACACTACAGGCCTTACTGGGAATCGATAGATCTATGCCAAGCTTAGTAGAAAGTAGCTGAGTCCATTTTGAAATTTTGATGGATTTAAAAGTAATGCTATCCACTCCATTATATGATTCTGGGCTGGTCTAAAAGTGTACAGAAAACTGGATAATTTAAAATATTAAATCTCCTACATTTTTCAACTGATAAATGGAACAACTTTTAGAAATTCGCTCCACATTTGATCTGACTGATTTTTAATAGGGCCCCCTATTCAAGGTATGCTAAAACGGAACCATAAGAAAAATGGTTATAGTAAAGGCATGTGGGGGTGGGGGGTGGTCGTATACATAGAAGAGTTATTTTTCTCAAGTTAATTGGGGGGGGGGGTATATTAAATTAAATCTAGAATTTTCCCCACAGTTTTATTTTGTCCCACAGGGGTAGATACTGGGATCTTAGGCTTATTGAGATTGTTCTTGAAGTTCTGTTTAGTTAGATACCTTCCTGGGGATTGGATCAGTCTAGGGTGAATGGGATCACAACGGGAGAGAACGGGATCCCACGAGGGAAACGAATCCCACTAGTAACTGGATCCCACCGAGGGACGGGATCCCAAAAGGGACGGGATCCCAAAAGGGACGGGACCCCAAAAGGGACGGGATCCCAAAAGGGACGGGATCCCAAAAGGGACGGGATCCCACTTGTAATCGGGATTCTAACGGGAAATGGGATCAATGTCGTTTTTTTTTTAAAGAATGTGTTTTCTTAGATTCCAAAGGAAAACAAAAACCTCTTGCTGATGTGTTTTTGTGCTAGCTAAAAGGCTGTAGAGTTATTTGTTTGTTTTTTTAATTCAAACCCGGACAACGCCGGTTATTTTGGCTAGTATATACATCTGGCAGGTTCGCTTTATTATGCTTGTAAAAAAATTAGCTTGCGTGTTAGAATCAAGGTTATCGTGTCATCTTTAATCTCAGCCACACACCTGCCCCGCCAAAGTCAACAAGGTAAGTCAGTTCAGAGCTCGCACTATGAACGGGAACTCCTCCAGCTGTGACCTACTTAAAAGCATCGGCACTTACATTCAACGTAATACATGATGTATTGGTGTTACAGTTAATAGCATGAAATGTGTCTTGCCTAGTTGATGGAGTAGTTGTGGTCAACATTTGGTGATGAAGTGGATTGAGTAGTTAGAAAAAAAGACATTGACCGGGGTATCTGTATAACTCCTAGTTCAGATGTCACACCGGAAGTGTCACTATAAAACAGTCAAACTTAACTAGTCAAAAATGTGTTTGCAGTAAAATAAAGGATGAGATGTAGTGGCGTAATGACTGTTGGAGAGATCTTGAAATAAAGAGAAATGTCAATGAAATAGTCAACTTTATCCCCGTCTTAGACTTTATATGCCTAATTTGTAATGTGTATTGTGGGTGCTATGTCTAATTTGTAGTGTGTATTGTGTGTGCTATGCCTAACTTGTAATGTGTATAGTGTGTGCTATGCCTAATTTGTAATGTGTATTGTGTGTGCTATGGCAAACTTGTAATGTGTATAGTGTGTGATGTGCCTAATGTGTAATGTGTATTGTGTGTGCTATGGCAAACTTGTAATGTGTGTAGTGTGTGCTGTGCCTAATATGTAATGTGTATTGTTTTGGCATAGCCTAATTTTTAATATGTATTATGTGTGCTGTGCCTAATTTGTAATGTGTATTGTGTGTGCTATGGCAAACTTG